AACCTTTAAACCACCTTAACTGCTAAACACCAGATAATTTAAATTATCTCGTCTCCAAATCCAGAGATTATTCATTACCTATGCATTTTTATTATGAAAAGAAGAGAGGAGGGAGAAATGCAATAAAAAGGCATGCCTCTTCCTGCTTGGGGAAATAATAGACATATTTGCATAAATATATTATTGGGTACAAATTGCCAGGCTTCAACTAGGTCGACTATTGCCTTGATAAACTCTCTGTGGAAAAGATACTGGAAAGCTTTCATTTTTATTTTAATTACAATGAATTTCTTCTTATGTGAAGGTGGAAGGGAGTCTTGTGCAAAGCCAAGTCTCTTTCTCCACTACCCCCACCGTCTTTCCTTCAGGAAGCTGTTTCGTTTATGGCCAATCCAATTTTATGCAGTCCAGATACATTTTATTAGCATATTATCTGTGCAGGTTATTCAGTCAGTCAGCTGTGCACTTTTCAGAGATAAAGTGACATAATTTCTCCTGTTGTGGGTGCTACAATGCTTCCAATCCCCCCGCCCTCTCCATACTGATAAAAGCAGTAGGGGAAATAAAATGATCATGAAGCTATATTTTCATCTTTGACTATATTAATGTCATGAGCTCAGGCTCTTAAGATCTTATAGGGGGGATTTTCTGAGAAAGACAGCCCAGAATATGTTATAGCTATAAGGGTATGAAAGGGAGTTGCCAAAAGAAGAAGAAGAAGAAGAAGCACAAGCATTTGAAAAAGGCTCAGATGCATGAATAAACCAACTGAACCCAGAACTGCCAAGCACTTTTCTTTACTGCTTACAGGGAAAGGTTATACAAGCTCTAATGACTGTCTTCAATGTAGGATGGTGGAACATTTTTCTGACAAGAGTTTTTAATTTCAAGGAAGCGAACCCCAAATAATTTGGTGCCATTTCTGATTAACCCGCAGGACACTAGAGACAATCAGGTTTCCACAGGTGCATAGAGGCATTCTGATGTGGGAGGGAAGCAAGCGAGCAAGGGGGATAAAAGAGAAAGAAAACCCTCTATTCCTTGCCCACATAGGAAGGAGAGTCTTTCTTTGTATGTCTTCTTTCCCGTATAAAGTGCCTCAAAATTGTACAAGACCGATTACAAGGTGCTTTTGGTTAAATATATCCTGCAGGGGTGGAAAACCTTAGGCCATGTGTCAAATGTAGCCCTCCAGGTATCTCTGTCTGGCCCTCATACTCTCCCCTCCTCTCCCCAGGCTGCACACCTGATCAGCTGTTCTTTGCAACTTCCTTGAGTGTTTTTGGCTGACTGGAATGCATCCTTCAACTCTGATAATGCTTCTTGTTTTCCTGGATGGAGGATGGGGTGGTGGCATGAGAGTCAAAGGTAATTCCCCTGCCCATCTGTGACATACGGCCTACAGAAGGTTGCCTGGTATGCTGTAACTCTTCCTGTAGGGCCAGAACTGGAATTTCCATATTGTTTGTTTGTTTGTTTGTTTGTTTGTTTGTTTGTTTGTTTGTTTAATCTCCATCCCACCCTTCCTCCCAAACGGCCTAGCTGGCTGGCTATATGGTTATAGTTTAATTATAGCTATTTATTAGTCTTTTCCCTCCAGACAAGCCCTCTCAGAGGTATGTACAGAGAGAAGTAAAAACAACAGAACAGTAGACAGAAACAGCAAGAGAGAAACTGAATTAGATCACCATAAGTGAAATCTTATGAAGGACTTCAAACTTAAACACTCTTAAGGAAAAGCAAAACTTTTTATTCTTTTTTAAAGGTGAAGTCTAAAAGCCTACTTGAATACGAGAACCAAAAGGACCTAGCAAATATTAACTGGAATATTAAATATTAAAGTTCCACAATGTTGGAGTCACCCCTACAAAATCTGTCTTGTGTGCTCGCTAGCTTCACACAAGCAAGAATTCAGTTCTTAAGCATGTTTCCCAAGGAAGTATAATGGTTAGGGTTCTCTGCCTTTGATGGGATGAGTGTTACTTTTTTTATCAAGCAAGGCCTAATCTAGCAAAGGCTACAAACCCCATGGGGGCAGGGCGAGCCAAGGAAGGGTGCACTGCGTTGAGCCTCTCTGCAGCCTCCCCCTCAGCTGTAGGGCGGCTGAGGCAGTGGGCAGATGCAAGCCCTGCGCTGCTCGAAAAAGCAGTGTGGAACTTGCAGGCAGTCCGTCGCCTCCCCTCAGGAGAGACGCGTGGATCAGGCATGCTGCAGGTCCCACAGTGTGACACCCAGTGCCCCCCGCCTCACCTAGCTATGCCTCTGGATTAGACAGATTCAAGGAGAAGAGGGCTGTTGAATGCTATTAGCCATAAAGGCTGTGCTCTGCCTGCAAAGTTGGAGGCAGACATGCTTCTGGTTTCTGGAAATCACTCAAAGGGAGAGTGCTCCTGAGAGGAAGGGGCGTGCGGTGGGTGCGGAAGTTATATTTTCACCATTTTGTCACTGCCCTTCCTACGCCACTGGGTTTGGGAGTGTTCTTTACTTAGAAGAACTCTCCCCACCTGGCTGTAATGAGACCCAGGTAGCCTGTATTCCCACAGCTTCTACCTCTCCCAGCTCAGACTCAGCTCTCCAGTTAAGTCCTGTCTGTACTCAACCCAGTCTTCCTACATAAGGTGCAATGCCCTTTCCTCTTGCTGTAAATAGTCTCCTCAGAGTGGATGTTCAACTCAAATCAGAACTAGTTCTCCCTCCGTCAAATCCTATCCTAATTCCTATCTCCCATCTCAAAATAAACTATCTCTGTCCCTATCTAACTCTCTCACAGAAACCGCTCCTTTTATTCTCCCTCACAGACTACTGCTCCTCCCCATTTGTGGTTAGCTGGCTTTGTAGCCAGTCAGCAAGAGGCTCCAACACTCTGATAGAGTTTCTGAGGGACTGCATCATCAGACTCTGGTCTGGCTCTGCTGTCCATCACACCTGCCTATAAACAGCAGCCATTTTGAGACAGGCTGGCAGTATTAATCCTGAGCCTGTCATGAACGCCTACAAACCACTTTCAATAACATTGATCTGGCTGTCAAAATGGGAAAAATGTCAACATCTCAAGCTATCCAATTATAGTCTAGGAACCACACTATTCTTTGCAGGGGAAAACAAAGGGTCTGTTTCTTACATAAGTCACTGTTGTGTGCAGAAGAGAATACATTATGATAGAGATGCTTCTTAAATCCAATTGTACCTTGTTTAGTGAGATTTGTGCTTCAGGGGTGGAGAATGTCAGCACTATTAAGGCAATGGAAATGAAACAGACGTGTTCTGACACTTACAGGTGGGTAAAACATTGCAATGAAATTTTTAAAAATGGCAACATTTTTTTTAAAAAATGGGGTGAACATTTAAACATTTTTTCAATCCCCCCCAATACAGATTCATTAATTAATGGTTGGTTATCTTTAATTCAGTTTCAGACCATGATGTGCCCCTCTATTTTTCTGCAATTTCTTATGAGATTGATGATGAACTGAGTTAGACACAAAATGTCAGAAAAGTAGGTTTATCACCCAATTAAAACTTAGGCTACAATGCAGACTTTATTGGGAGCAAGTCTCCTTGTATTGTAATGAGAGTTACCGGTATTTCTGAGCAAATCTGCCAAGTTATACTATCCAGGTTACAGGACAAACCTATGGAAATTCACTGAGAAGTAGGTATGGAAGGATCTGACAATTTCATTTCTTTGTTTCTCACTTTTCCAATCTTAAATTCAGTTCTTCACATTTCTGCAGCAATGTGGGAATGCTTTTAAAAATATCCTCCTGAAGATTCATCAGTATTTTGGTATGAATTTCTCTTAATGAACACATTTTTATGTGCAGTTTTTACTAATGTGCACATTTTTGCAAAGCACTTTCTCATAATATCATGCCTTTTTGCTTGATATTATATATCAAATAATATATTCATTTTTATGCTCACTTTCCCCAGATAGATAGATAGATAGATAGATAGATAAACATTAGCTAACTGGAAAACAGCATTTCAAAATTTGGATAAATGCTGATTTCAGAGAATGGCTGTGTGGCGTTTGCCCTTCTATGTGTGTGACATCATACTGGGTTCATAGGGAAAGGGTTAACTAATTGTAAAATAACTAACCATTGGGAACCCAGGGGGCAGAGTTAACTGTGTATAAGGTTTAAGCACAGACTTTTTTTAGAGAGAGTTGTTGAGAAGACAGTCTGAAGTTAGAAGAGACAGAGAAGATAAGTCTGTGGGTTGGGCTAGTCTGGTGTGAGAGAGGGAGAGAATTTGTTAAGAGAAGTCAGTCAAGCAGTTGAGATAATCAGTCAGAAGGTATTAGGAAGGTATAGGCCGGTAAAGAAACTAAAGTTAAGATACTGACAAGAATATTATCTGAGAAACCATAAACTTGTTAATGTTTGTAAAATAAACTTTTTTGTTGTTGTTCACTTTTAACAACTGACTGGACTCAGTGTTTTACCAGAGAGTAACTGCTTGGTGGCAGTGGGGAAGCGAGCACAGGTGTGGCACAGGGATCAATAGACCGTTAAACATCCGGGGACCCTGTGTGATCACCACAGGCTGTGTCTCTTGTTGCAGAATGCGTGACTTTTATAGATTCACCTTTAAATGCAAACTGAATTGAATTTCTCCCCCATCCCTACCCAGTCATAAGTCCTGCTATAGTGACATGGAGCCTGTGGTCCTCCATGTGTTGCTAGACTACAGCATCTGTCATCTCTGGCTACTGGCTATGTGGTATTATGGGAGCTGGGGTCCAAAAATATCTGGTTCCTCAGCTCTGTCCTACTACATAATATATGGCCTTCTGTCATGTCAGTAGTTCTCCTATGGTACATGTGTGTCATGTGACAAAGACACATGACAGCAGAAGCAGCAAAGCGGGCTGAGAAGTGCTGGGACTGCACAATCTTTTGGGCCTACTAAAGTTATTTAGGCCTAACTGCTAACTGTTGAGTCATTCTGACATGTGACTTAGCAGCCATTTTCTCTGTGTGTTCTCTGTAAGATTTCAGTCTGCCTCAGTTGTGAGCAGTACGTAATCTCAGTCAAACTATTTGGAACCATGTTGTTTATGAAGAAGCTTATTTTAATTCAGTAAAGCTCTTATTCTTTAAAACTCTGCATTATTTGTCACTGATGATGACATCTCAAAATAGAGATGGGAATGGGGTTTTTACTTTAAAAATGGTACCTGCCATTTGCAGTTTTTATAGTATTTATATTGGAAAAAAATGCTTTTTTTAAAAAAAAAAAGTGTGTAGGTCCATTAATTAAGGACGTCTTTGTAGTCAAATAAACATATTTTTAACCGATTAATATAAACAAACATTCTACTCTAACAAATAACACAAGAGGCATCCATAGCTGCTGAGGAATACGAAAGATAAAAATTATATACAGTGGTGCCTCAGGTTACATACGCTTCAGGTTACAGACTCCGCTAACCCAGAAATAGTGCTTCAGGTTAAGAACTTTGCTTCAGGATGAGAACAGAAACCGTGCTCCGGCAGCGCGGCAACAGTGGGAGGCCCCATTAGCTAAAGTGGTGCTTCAGGTTAAGAACAGTTTCAGGTTCAGTATGGACCTCTGGAACGAATTAAGTACTTAACCCGAGGTACCACTGTACAACATAAATGTTGTAGTGTAGACATAATCTTGAAATGTTTGGTTTTGAGACAGTTTATTCCACTTCTAAAATGTGCTCTTTTTTAAACTAATAAATCCACAAAACTTATTTGCATTTGCAGTGCCAAATGCAATTAAGGTACTGCTTGCCTCTTCTGTATAATTTCCTTATTGTAAGATGTTAAATAAAAGTGGGCATCAATAGATTCCCAGTGGACAGAGAGGCGGGCACATTCCCATTCCATTCTCACTCCTCTGCCATTTGTGATTACCCTTTGCTGATACTTGATAGTCACTTCTCTCTTCCTGTACAGCTGTGTTCAGAAGTACTGTCCTTATTCTTCTGGTCACTAATAAATGGTTTTTGTTTCTTTGTTAGATTCTGCAGCTCCACCACCAAGGAAAATCTTGTCAGTTCCCCCCACGGATTGAATTTTCTGTGGCATAGCTTTGCCATCCAAGCACATCTTGTTCTCAAGACCTTCACATTTTTCTATTCCCTGCATCTCAGCTTCCATCTTTTTATCCATGGAATTAAATTAGCAGATTTTGAGATAAGGAGGGACTGGATAAATTAACCACTGTGTGGAGAAAATGAATAATACTCTCTCGCATAATAGTAGAACGATACTTAGAGGTTTGTTTGTAGAAAAAGAAAAGAAAAAGAAAATAATCACATGGTATATAATTTTTTTTAAATAAACAAATACAAGAACATGCAATGAAGTAAAATGTTGAAAGAGTCCACTCGAAGTTAATCTCTGAAATTTGCTCTTACAATATTACCTCACAATACCAGTCACTAAAGATACGGGGCTAGATTGGAATTGATGAAATTGCTCAAAGTTATTACATTTTACATATTTCTGTAGCATTTTGGGAAGTATCATTGATATTCACATCTGTACATCCAAATTGATAAAATAAATGCACTTCTGCAACCATGCTTGAATGTCCTGCTGGACCAAGCAAAATTTCCAGAGTGGTAGGATGAGAGTTGCTGCCCCTAGCAGTCTTCTCACTTATTAGCTGCGTAACAACAACAACAACAGCAAGATGCCTGCCCACAAGCATCTTTCCTCTGGTACAGAAGGTGGGGCCCTAATGAACCACAGCTAGGAAAGACTAGCTGTCTGCTCAGGACCTCCAGGGAGAAAGATGACAGACTAGACATCTCTGGTTGACAGAAATAATTATGTGCTGATATATTTGGCAAAGCCAAAAACATTGAGTATCTTGTCCAAAATGTATAACTTACTGTTGAAGTGGCATACAAAGGATGAACAAGTTAAATCTGTGATGATAGATTGAGCAAGAGATGTGGGACATAACATAATGTTTGAAGATTGGGAAAGGTTGTGGAGGAAAGGGGTCGAGTTCACTGCATGTACGATGTTAAAGGAAAATGTTATGAAAATGATGTATAGATGGTGCTTAACCCCTGTAAAACTAGCAAAGATTTATCATAAGAGTGATAATTTATGTTGGAAATGTAAAGAAAGAGAAGGTAGTTTTTATCATACATGGTGGGCCTATCCCAATGTGAAAGACTTCTGGGAGAAGATTTACAATGAATTGAAAAAGATGTTGAAATATCATCATCAATCTCATCATCATCACCATCATCATGAATCTTTATTACGGTCCAGAGACCCAACAAATCATTACAAAGCAACACACAATTCATACAGCCTACCTCCAGGTTAAACAAGCATTTTGTTCAGAATATAGGGATCATTGGTTCTTGCAACCACCGATAAAAACTTTGCCACTGCTAATGTTCTAGCATTTGTCCGGTCTTTCAATAGGAACCTGACATAGTGAGCCTCTGATTTTCCCGGGAAAGGTAATATCAGTTCAGCCCTGGCTTGCTCATATTTTGTACAGTGCAACAAAATATGTTTTATGGAACCAATGTCTCGAGCCCACGAGCAAAGTCTGACCTGGTAGGGAACTCCTCTCAACCTGCCATCCAACACTGCAGAAGGAAAGACGTTTAGTCTGGCTTTGGTGAAAAGCCTTCAATTTGGTTTGGTACTGTCAGATTTTTAATGTAAGATGTTAACTTAAAGACATGCCTATATTGTACTCCTACTGCCAGCGGACTACAGACTGCGTGTGTTTGAGATCGCAAGTCACTGTGTGCATTATCCCATAATCTTTGCTTTAACGTCTTTAGGGTGATTTCATAACCCAGGTAATACAGTTGGGGGGGGGGGTGACAGACCAATAGAGGTGGCTTTTTTAGCCATGGTTTTCTGCCATTTGCTGACAAATTCCTCATTGGTCAGGTGTTGGTACAAACCCTTCCCTAAATCAAACACTGAAATCCTGAGCCAATGTTTTAGAGCAGCCCACCACGCTTTAGTTGAAATTGGGTATTCACCAGCTTCTAACAGAAGTATGGAGTTGGGGACACAGTTGGGTACCTGCAGCAGAGATCGTAGAAATTTTGCCTGAAAGCCATCTAGCTTTGGCAAGTCCCCATTATGCAAGACATTTGCAGTGTACAGGAGTTGGGAAATGGGTTTTGCGTGGTGCTTCCAATATCCTGTATCATGGAATGTGAGCCCTAGATAACTGAAGTATTTGATCTGTTCAAGGTTATGGGCCATCCAGCACCCATTTAGACCAGGAGAAGCTTCTTTTGAAAACTAGAATTTTAGATTTTTCATAAGCTACCCTTCTGCCAGGCTTACCAACTTGCCGGCAGTCGCCCATCATCTCTACATTCATATGCGCGTTCTTTGTGATGTAGAGTGCCTGCCTGTTATCCTGGAATGCGGATTCAGCAGAGAACCTTCGAACTATCCTAAGCCTTCATTTGTTCTCGTTTGTGAGTATGTTTAGCTAGTGATGTTAAACAATGTTTTTATTTTCTTGTTTGAACCCTGTAAGAGATGTGCCAACTTTTAAGTTTGAATAATCTTGTTTTTAAAATAAATTTTGGGGAAAGGACTTTTCCTGTTCTGTCTTTTGTGCCTTCTGCTCAGGAAGTCTAAATCTAATGCCAGGAGAGGCGAGTCACCTGTGGGCTGGGACCACCCTAGGCCCCGGAGAAGATAATGGCCAGTCAGCTCAGTCCCAGGTTGCGGGAGCAACGACGTTGGAAACCTGTTTCTGCCAGCACCCAGACCTGCTTTTCCAGAGTTCACGACCACAACAGTGGTAAATGATGAAGATGAAGATGAAGATGATGGACTTTTCGGAGCTAGCCAACCTGACCGGAAGAGTCCGCGACCAGAATGAGGAGGAGTATCAGGAGGAATGGATGAAATTTAAAGACTATTAATCTAAATATGCTAAGATAACTTAAATAGAAATACTTGCAAATACCAGATTGGCCTAGGATTTAAATATGTGATGTTATAGAATAATATGTTTAAATTTATAATGAAAAGAAAGAAAGATGTTAATAGACTAAGTAAATTTTATGTGAAAATAGTTTTGGAAAACCATTACAATGATATACATAGAAACTCAACCAGGGGGATTCAATGAAGTCACCCAACAATGTTAACAAAAGTGGAATTATTGCAGTTAGGTTTTATCTTTGTTTGTTTGTTTGCTTTTGGATATTTGTTATAAATTTGGAAAAATCAATAAAAATTTTGAAAAAAACCCCAAAAACATTGAATATCACATTTTCTTTAGGAAAACAAAGAGACCAGGGGATTAACCTCATGCTCTGAAAAGGCTGAAAAGCAAAGATCATGCATAAATTGGTTCTAAACAGCTGAGGGGTGTAGGTTGGTCCTGCTGCCAGTACTCTTCTGGCTTTTAATAGCCACAAAACTGCCGCAACAACCGCAACAAACGAGGGTTGTTTAAAAGATAGGGAATACAGAATGCAAAATGGTTGACAATTCAGACTGCCTGCTCTGGTCCAGTCCTGTATTGACAGAGGCCTAACTTCTTGGAGTAATAGATTTGGAATTGCCCAAGAAAGTTGTTAGATTGTTTTTGTATGCCACAACTGCTGCTAGAATTTTGCTGGCTAAAAAAAGAAGTGCCAACAGTGGAGAAATGATGAAGATGAAGATGATGGACTTTTCGGGATAGCCGACCTGACCGGAAGAGTCCGCGACCAGAATGAGGAGGAGTATCAGGAGGAATGGATGAAATTTAAAGACTATTAATCTAAATATGCTAAGATAACTTAAATAGAAATACTTGCAGACCTGTTTTTCCGGAGTTCCCAACCGGCTTATTGCTTTGGACCCCGCTTTGCCCTTGGTGGACAGTCTCCAGACCCTCGGCCCAGGACCGGACTCTGACCATGCCTCACGGTAACCCCCCCCCCAGGACCAGCACACACCCAAATTCAGACTGCCTGCTCTGGTCCAGTCCTGTACTGACGGTACCTTCCCAGAGTACAGTGGTGCCTCGCAAGACGAAATTAATCCGTTCCACGAGAGTCTTCGTCTAGCGGTTTTTTCGTCTTGCGAAGCAAGCCCATTGACGGATTAGCGCTATTAGCGCTATTAGCGGTTTAGCGGCTATTAAAGGCTTAAAGGCTTAGGGGATTAGCTGCTAAAAGGCTATTAAAGGCTATTAAAGGCTTAGCAGATTAGATAAAGGGGGGAAAAGCGAAAAAAAAATCTCAAGACTCGCAAGATATTTTCGTCTTGCGAAGCAAGCCCATAGGGGAATTCGTCCTGCGAAGCAACTTCAAAACTGAAAACCCTTTCGTCTAGCGGTTTTTCCGTCTTGCGAGGCATTCGTCTTGCGGGGCACCACTGTATCTGAATCTGAAGGGCCTGCACCTGTGCCGGTTCCTCAGGAGCAGACACCAGATGAATCCACTCTGGCTCTGGAGGTGATTGAGGACCCATTGCCTGCAGTTGCTCCTCTCCCAGCTCTGTCAGGAGAAGGTGAGGCTGCCTCTGGGTCCAGTAACCCTCCAGCCTCTCCTGAGCTGCAGAGGCTCAGGGCAGAGAGGTGGAGGGAACTATGTTCTCTCAGGAGGAGTGCTCGCCTTAAGGCCAGGAGAGGCGAGTCACCTGTGGGCCGGGACCACCCTAGGCCCCGGAGAAGATAATGGCCAGTCAGCTCAGTCCCAGGTTGCGGGAGCAACGACGTTGGAAACCTGTTTCTGCCAGCACCCAGACCTGTTTTTCCAGAATTCACGACCACAACAGTGGTAAATGATGAAGATGAAGGACTTTTCGCAGCTAGCCAACCTAACCGGAAGAGTCCGCGACCAGAATGAGGAGGAGTATCAGGAGGAATGGATGAAATTTAAAGACTATTAATCTAAATATGCTAAGATAACTTAAATAGAAATACTTGCAAGTACCAGATTGGAAACCTGTTTCTGCCAGTATCCAGACCTGTTATTCCGGAGTTCCCGACCACACACAGGTTCTTGCTTCGGACCCTGCTTTGCCCTTGGTGGACACTCTCCAGACCCTCGGCCCAGGACCGGACTCTGACCATGCCTCACGGTAACACCCCCCCCCCCCGGGGCCAGCACACACCCAAAGGGCAGAAGATGCAGAGTGCTCTGTGTCAGAGCTGGCCCAGACCTCCTTGCAGGCATGTCTTAAGCTTTAAGACCATGGGCCTCCAACCATTTGGGCCATATGACCAATTAAGGGAACTGTCCAACTGCAGCAGCCTCATTTCCTTTGTAAAAGACGGGGAGGAACCAAATAGGTGAAGAAATAAGAAAGCGCTGATTTTTGAAGAAAACTTCAGTGGTGCATCACAGGGTATCAGCCCATGTGTAGTTCAGAATCTGCAGTTTGATTGCACCCAAATGGCAGAAAATGCAGGGTGCTCTGTGTCAGAGCTGGAAAATCAAGAATTTTTTTTGAAAACCCCCCAAAAACATTAAATATCACATTTTCTTTAGGAAAACAGAGAGACCAGGGGATTAACCTCATGCTCTGAAAAGGCTGCAAAACAAAAATCATGTATAAATTGTGCCTAAGGAAGGTTCGAAACAGCTGAGGGGTGTAGGTTGGTCCTGCTGTTAGTACCCTTCTGGCTTTTAATAGCCACAAAACTGCCGCAACAACCGCAACAAACGAGGGTTGTTTAAAAGATAGGGAATATAGAATGCAAAATGGTTGACAATTCAGACTGCCTGCTCTGGTCCAGTCCTGTACTGACAGTACTTTCTCATTTCAGCCATTCAAACAGTAGCTTGAGTTGGGCGGTAGCCATCGCAGATAAAGTGCCTTTGCCAGTGTGAGTGGAGGAGAGTTGGCAACCTCAGCTTTTTGCTTTGCACCTTTTGGGCTTGGGAGCTTTCAGTATGTTAAAAAGTCATTGTCCACCTAGTCAGAGGAGGAGGGATGGAGGGAGTATTGAGGTTCTGCTTGCCCTCTGATGGTCAGATGACTTTCTGTTGCGATTTAGACTTTCAACCCACTTTTTCCCTTTCTAGAGGCAAGGGACGTATTAGGATCATCCGCCCCTGGAGGCTGATGTATCTAATGGGTTTCCAGGTAACGCTGAGGGCTTTTTCTGTTTGATATGACTGGCACTCCTATCAAAGCCCTGGCCAGCCTCTGGAACATCTGAATGGCTCAGGCCTTTAACATGATCACTTCTGAGCATCCTTTCCCACTTGACTCCTTGGTATACTGCAGAACTTAGGGAAAGGAAACAAGTTGAAAGATCGCTCTGCGCAAGTGGAGGAAAGATCTGGCTGCATACAACTGAACAGTAGTGTGGACTCATCATTAAGCATACATAGTGGTATTGAAGATAGCAGTACTACTCAGCTACAAGTGATCGCCAAAGAAGAAGAAAGACAGTCCGACTCAAGGAGGTGGTGGAACCAATGGTAGCTATGTCTAACCACTGTGACTTGTTTGCAAAGCATTTTGAGGATAAAACCACTTGCATCCACTGAGATCTTGACTCTGCTGTTATAGCAGATGAGTCTCATGGGTGTCCAGAGCACTGTCTAGTCCTGTTGTTTTGGATAATTTTCAGATAGTAAGGCTTGAGGATGTGGACAAGGTGTTTGTATTAGTCAGGGCAACGACTTGTGCTTCGGACTCTTACCCTTCTTGGCTGATAAAAACTAGTGGGGGGGTGGTAATTTACTGGGCCAGGAAGGGTGTTCTTATTTCCATCTGATATGCAGGACGGCATAGCATTCTGATCCAAGTTTCATTAAGAAAACATTATCCATAATATCAGCAGCAGGCAGCTGCAGTCAAATTGGCCAGTCAGAATGGAAAATCCTATTTTAACAAAACCAATAAAAGAGAGCGGCAATACTATTTTCTTGTTTCCCTTGTTCAACTACAATTCCATAAAACAGTGGATTTGTAGGTTCTCATTAATAAAAAATAAATAAAGGGTGTGAGGGGTGGGTGGGATCGATGTGCCTATACTTCTTAATTCCACCCCTGGGCCTTTTCTATACTGAAAATAGTGTTAATTTGTTCCCCTTCCACTGCTGTAAATATTGCTCCCTTAGAAAATAAGTGATTTATTTGACTGGAACAAAATCCATCTTGTGTCTCCAAGTGGTTTAGGGTTGTATGATCTATGTCTGGATTGGCCCACTTAATGCTATTTATTGCTCTATGAATGATATTAAGATGGATTTCTTAAGTCTGGTGGAATTACTTTTTCTTCTTTCGTGCAATTTTTACTTGCCATAGCAAACAAGACTTTGTCCATGTACCCATATAAAATAACTATTATCGTTCTTTTCCTCTGCATTTTTAAAGCATAAATATTATTGGCTTTGAGGCAACAATGACAGAATGTGCTGACATCAGAAAAATGCCAGCTCCAGCCCAACCAGAAGTAAAATGTATAGGGCATATTGAGAGATGGGTGGCAAAGCTGTGCATATGCTTTGTCCTCCCCAGCAGTATATATTGTGGGAGAGTAGCTAGAGGAAGCAGAGAAAAGCTCCAACCAGTATTATTTTTTCTATTTTTTTAAAAAAATTGGAGTTTGCTTGTTTATTTTAAATTCAATTTATAAAGGCCCCTTTAGAAACGAAAAGATACAAACACAAGTTAAGCACACAGTTTGCTTTTAGTTCAACACTTTCTTCATCCATCAATTTTACCCAAAATCACAAAAGTAATATTACAAAGCTTTCGCAGTGCACATTTACATATTCTGCATATACATCTATTCACTCTTCAAACAATGCATTTTCATTGCATTTGGCTTAAAAAACAACAACACAGCCCCTACATCAGGCTGGAAATATATAACGTTTTAAACCAATGAGTTTTTCCTCTTAAAAATATATATATATATTACTTGGAAAGAAGCCCATATTACACAAGACATGGACATACGGCAGGTGAAAAATTAGAGGCCAATCTCGCTCCTAAATAATGATTACAAATTATTCGCCAGTATATTGTCCAATAGACTTAAAGATGTATTGGGAGAGGAGATTGGAAAGAATCAAACTGGATTTCTACCTGGTAGACAGATGAAGGACAATGCTAGAAATATAATTGATATGGCAGGTGCCGGGGCGTTTTTCCGACAGCTCAGAGCGCTGAGCAGGGCTGCGGCCGTCGGGGCGGCCGCCTATGGGGGTCACAATTTCCGTCGCAGCGACCGAGATGACTACTTGAAAGAGCTCTATGAGACAGCCAACAAATACCACTTCTTCCACAGCCTAGCCCTCCTGGCTGTGCCATGTTTATGTATGCCACAATGGCTGCAAGGACACTTCTGTCTCAGAAATGGAAGCAGCAGGAACTTCCAACACTGGAAGACCGGCAGGTCAAGATGATGGAGTTCGAAGACATAATCCGGACTCAGCGTGATGAACTGTTTCAAAAGGACTGGTACAAATTTATATTTTATATGAAAGAAAATTGTAAACATTTGAAAACGTTTGTAGGCTTGAATTGAAATGTTTTGTAATGTAACTATAAGGAACTGATTTACCGATAATAAGGTGAAATATTATAACTTGACAAAGGGTAAATAAGTGCTTATAGAAATGCGAAGAATATGGAAAGTTATGTGGAAGTCAGAAAGAGGGAGGGCAGGAGGTCGATGCTCTTACAGAGTAATATATTAAGTCATATAATTTTGTAACAAAAGGTGAATATGATTGAATGGAAAACTCAGTAAAAATTACTTAAAAAAAATAAAAAGAGAAAATATATTAGGAGTGGCTTTTCTTTTAATAAGTTAATAAATGAACTACTTCATTGGCACAGCATCCAAATGAGGTGTAGTGGTTGTATAGTTCCTGATACGTTTTGTTTCATAATTATATTTGGGTTACTGCTTTTTTTTAAAAAAAAAATGGTTAGCTTTTTGTATCATAAAGTTCACAAAACCGATTCCTAGTATACAACTGAAAGCAGAAATGGGCTCACGATTTCCATCGCAGCGACTGAGATGACTACTTGAAAGAGCTCTATGAGACAGCCAACAAATACCACTTCCTCCACAGCCTGGCCCTCCTGGCTGTGCCCCACTGCCGCTATCCCATGATAGCCGGCAGCATCCTGTCTCTGGGCATGGGGATGTTCTCTGCCGCCCTGTATTACCACACCATGACAGGGGACCCGATCCTGACCAAGGTGGCCCCGTATGGTGGTTCCCTCCTCATCCTCGGCTGGATCGCCATGGCCCCTTGACACCCCGTTCTGTCCCCATGTGGCCCCCATCTCCCAATGCCAGGGCAGCCAGCCCTGCCCCTCCCTCAGGCTAGCCAGAAGGGAGCCCTAGGAGAGGAGAGATTTCCAAATGTCAGAGTGGGATCCCTTGAGGTCTTTAGCCCGCCCTGAATGCGTCTCCGTCCTGTATCTTGGAATTCCCCAAATGCCGAATCCCTTTTTAAAAAGCCAAGATCCTTCCCCCCCCCCGAAAAAAAATTGCAACCAGATTTGAGTTTGCGATGGAGGCCTCGAAATGCAATGTCTGATCAGTGCTTTTCAATTGGTGTTTTTTAACTTAATAAATGATGAGAGTGATTTCACTTTTTAAAAAACCCACACACTTTTTTTTTCTGTGAATAAATTTATTTGGGGGGGGGGAGAAAAAAATATATAATTGATATAATGGAATATCTGGACTCCAGGAGAGACAAACAAGTCGCCCTAATGTTTCTGGATGCTGAAAAAGAATTTGATAATGTGTCTTGGCATTTTATGAAACGAAATTTAGAATTTATGGATATCGGTGAAAAACTTTTAAATGGTATTCGGGCTATTTATTCGGAAGAATATGCTAAATTGATAGTTAATAATAACTTCACAGACAAAATTGAGATAACAAAGGGAACCAGACAGGGGTGCCCGCTATCGCCATTGTTATTTATAACAATACTAGAGGTCCTGTTGAGGAAAATAGAAGCAACAAAAGAAATAAAGGGGATTGGGGTAGGCTCAAAAGAATATAAGTATAAGGCCTTTGCCGATGACGTTGTCTTGAATTTAGAACAACCTATGTCCAGTGCAATAGAAGCTTTGAAAAAGATTGATAAGTATGGGTAATTAGCAAGCTTTAAGCTCAACAAAAAAAAGACAAAAATATTAACTAAAAATTTGGACAGTAAAGAAATAGGAGAACTACAACAAAAGACAGGTATGTTGATAGAAAAAAAGGTAAAATACCTAGAGTCTGGCTCACATCTAAGAACATAAACCTCTTTAAAGACAACTATGAAAAGGTGTGGAATGAAGTGAAGAGAGATCAGGAGATATGGACTAGAATGAAATTATCAATGATGGGTAGAATCTCAGCTATCAAAATGAACGTGTTACTGAGACTGATGTTTTTATTTCAGACAATTCCGGTTATCAGTGGAACAAAACAATTTAATGTATGGCAAGAAGTTTGTCTAAATATATCTAGCAGGTTAAAAAGCCAAGAATTAAGTATAAAATATTGACAGATGCAAAAGAAAGAGGCGGTTTTTCCCTGCCAGATCTAAAAATTTACTACGAGGCGGCGTGTTTTTGTTGGTTGAGAGAATGGATAACCTTAGATAATTCAGATATATTGGATTTGGAGGGATTTGACAACAGATTCGGGTGGCACGCCTACCTGTGGTCAGAATGGTCAGAATACACAGAGGGTTTTTCAACCATACTATTAGAAAATCATTGTATGAGGTGTGGCGCAGACATAAAACATTATTGGAATGCAAAACTCCAAGGTGCCTCTCACCTCTGGAGGCTTTTGCAATCAAAAATAAATAAATAAATATGGGAACTGAATGGGCGACATACAAAGACTTGCTGATGGAAGTGATAATAAAATAAAGTTAAAGACATTCGAAGAACTAAGAGGAAAAGTAGCCGATTGGTTGTAATACCATCAGTTACAAGATGTGTTTAGAGAGGATAATAAAAGAAACGGATTTGGAAGTAACAAATCTAAATTAGAGACAGAATTGCTGGGTAGTAAAATGAAAATGCTGTTGAAAATTATCAGTTACTACTGGAGTGGCACACAAAGGATGAAGAGGTAAAAAGTGTTCTGATTAGGTGGGCCCAGGATTTGGGGCACAATATTGATTTTAAAGGGTGGGAAAAACTCTGGACCGAAACAATTAAATTCACAGCATGTGTGTCACTCAAAAAAAATATATTTAAGATGATGTATCGATGGTTTTTACACATGTCAAACTTGCTAAAATGTATAGAAATCAAGACAAAAAATGTAGGAAGTGTAAGGAGAAGGAGGGGAACTTCCTCCATCTGTGGTGGACTTGTTCTAAAGTGAAAGCTTTCTGGGACATAATATACGAGATAAAAAAGGTTTTGAAATATAATTTTAATTAAAAAAGAGGCATTTCTATTAGGCTTAATTGGTGAGGAAATACATAAAAGTGATGTAAACATGTTTATGTATGCCACAATGGCTGCAAGTACACTTCTGGCTCAGAAATGAAAGCAGCAGGAACTTCCAACACTGGAAGACCGGCAGGTCAAGATGACGAAGTTCGAAGACATAATCCGGACCGAGATGACTACTTGAAAGAGCTCTATGAGACAGCCAACAAATACCACTTCTTCCACAGCCTGGCCCTCCTGGATGTGCCATGTTTATGTATGCCACAATGGCTGCAAGGACACTTCTGTCTCAGAAATGGAAGCAGCAGGAACTTCCAACACTGGAAGACCGGCAGGTCAAGATGATGGAGTTCGAAGACATAATCCGGACTCAGCGTGACGAACTGTTTCAAAAGGACTGGTACAAATTTATATTTTATATTAAAGAAAATTGTAAACATTTGAAAATGTTTGTAGGCTTGAATTGAAATGTTTTGTAATGTAACTATAAGGAACTGATTTACCGATAATAAGGTGAAATATTATAACTTGACAAAGGGTAAATAAGTGCTTATAGAAATGCGAAGAATATGGAAAGTTATGTGGAAGTCAGAAAGAGGGAGGGCAGGAGGTCGATGCTCTTACAGAGTAATATATTAAGTCATAGAATTTTGTAACAAAATGTGAATATGATTTAATGGAAAACTCAATAAAAATTACTTTAAAAAAATAAAAAGAGAAAATATATTAGGAGTGGCTTTTCTTTTAATAAGTTAATAAATGAACTACTTCATTGGCACAGCATCCAAATGAGGTGTAGTAGTTGTATAGTTTTTGATACGTTTTGTTTCACAGTTATATTTGGGTTGCTGCTTTAAAAAAAAAATGGTTAGCTTTTTGTATCATAAAGTTCACAAAACTGATTCCTAGTATACAACTGAAAGCAGAAATGGGGCACTTTTTCCTTTCGCATTGCTGCAGATATACATGCTATTTTACCATAGCTCGCAGAATGGCATCATGGCACCTTTTTACTATGTATGTGAATTATTTTTTAAAAAAACCACTGTTACTCGTTGAAATTCTGTCTGTTCAATATATTTCAGCTTCATGTTTAGTTACGCGTATAATATTTTTTCTATTTTTTAAAAAGTGCCAGAACTCATGAACACTTCCCTTGTTCTCTAATGGTGCCCACCTGAGAGGTGCTGGATCTGTTCGAGCAAGTTCCAGCTGAGAAAAAGGTCTGGTTCTAACTTGCCTAAGTGGGGAAAGTTGGCATTACTACAGTGAATGAACAGATGCAAGAAGCAGCATCCTTTGGCCATATAGCACCAATGCCAGGGAAATTGAAGAGACTCAGGGCAAACTTAGTTGCCTGACAGCATGAGTGAAGCTAACTCTGTAGACAGGTATATAGGGCTGGGGAGTGTGCTAGGAACCAAGAAATACAAAACACAACCTTTTTGGTGCCACTGCTGGAGTGGCACACAAAGGATGAAGAGGTAAAAAGTGTTCTGATTAGGTGGGCCCAGGATTTGGGGCACAATATTGATTTTAAAGGGTGGGAAAAACTCTGGACCGAAACAATTAAATTCACAGCATGTGTGTCACTCAAAAAAAATATATTTAAGATGATGTATCGATGGTTTTTACACATGTCAAACTTGCTAAAATGTATAGAAATCAAGACAAAAAATGTAGGAAGTGTAAGGAGAAGGAGGGGAACTTCCTCCATCTGTGGTGGACTTGTTCTAAAGTGAAAGCTTTCTGGGACATAATATACGAGATAAAAAAGGTTTTGAAATATAATTTTAATTAAAAAAGAGGCATTTCTATTAGGCTTAATTGGTGAGGAAATACATAAAAGTGATGTAAACATGTTTATGTATGCCACAATGGCTGCAAGTACACTTCTGGCTCAGAAATGAAAGCAGCAGGAACTTCCAACACTGGAAGACCGGCAGGTCAAGATGACGAAGTTCGAAGACATAATCCGGACCGAGATGACTACTTGAAAGAGCTCTATGAGACAGCCAACAAATACCACTTCTTCCACAGCCTGGCCCTCCTGGATGTGCCATGTTTATGTATGCCACAATGGCTGCAAGGACACTTCTGTCTCAGAAATGGAAGCAGCAGGAACTTCCAACACTGGAAGACCGGCAGGTCAAGATGATGGAGTTCGAAGACATAATCCGGACTCAGCGTGACGAACTGTTTCAAAAGGACTGGTACAAATTTATATTTTATATTAAAGAAAATTGTAAACATTTGAAAATGTTTGTAGGCTTGAATTGAAATGTTTTGTAATGTAACTATAAGGAACTGATTTACCGATAATAAGGTGAAATATTATAACTTGACAAAGGGTAAATAAGTGCTTATAGAAATGCGAAGAATATGGAAAGTTATGTGGAAGTCAGAAAGAGGGAGGGCAGGAGGTCGATGCTCTTACAGAGTAATATATTAAGTCATAGAATTTTGTAACAAAATGTGAATATGATTTAATGGAAAACTCAATAAAAATTACTTTAAAAAAATAAAAAGAGAAAATATATTAGGGTAAACATGTTTATGTATGCCACAATGGCTGCAAGTACACTTCTGTCTCAGAAATGGAAGCAGCAGGAACTTCCAACACTGGAAGACCGGCAGGTCAAGATGATGGAGTTCGAAGACATAATCCGGACTCAGCATGACGAACTGTTTCAAAAGGACTGGTACAAATTTATATTTTATATGAAAGAAAATTGTGAACATTTGAAAATGTTTGTAGGCTTGAATTGAAATGTTTGTAATGTAACTATAAGGAACTGATTTACTGATAATAAGGTGAAATACAAAACACAACCTTTTTTGTGCTTAGGAAATATGCACAAAAATCAACTGTAGCTCCTCTGGTGAATTTCCTGAATTAAAATCTCTTTCTGTCTCTTTTAAATTCTTTCCAAACCCATCTCCTATTTAGGAGTGAGCCTGGATCATTAATGTTCCATGTAATGAGAGGCCTTGGTGAGTGCATTAAAGGAAGACTGGGACTCTTATCATAGAATGATATCATATAACATTTGACAACATTACTTTTTACCGATATGAAATTCAGTGCAACATACCATCCGCTTGGCCAGAAAAGTCAACAAATGTGTCACTGGCACAGCGTCCAATCGGAAGTGAGGGCAGTGGAGGAGTCTGGTCTTTCTGCTTCTCTTTGGTCTTAAGAAGCGGCCACGGATAGCGACCCAATTCTTATTCTCTTGCTTTTTGAATCTTGAAAAATATGTACATTAGGAAAAAAAATATCAATTTATATTCTGAAATTTCAAACCGCTACTGCTGCTGCCCAGGACTGACCTGCTTAAAGCTTGAAGGGCCCTGCCCTGCTTCTCTTTACCTGGGTTGTGGCGGGGCCTGACAGGCTCAGTAAAGGACTGCTGCTCAACAACTCTGAACCCCCCCCCCCCGCAAAATGGGTAGACCACTGCCAGCCCCTGCCATAGGATTTTATGCAGTGATCATTACAGACCCCATACATCATTCCTGTATATGTCTATCCCTGTACAATTTTCCTCAATACAATTTCATCCTTTTTATATTAATTTGGGGTCAGTCAAGCAAATCTTTCAAACATCACCACCACCATCTAATTGGGGTTTGTGTGACCCCAGCATCAGACTGGTAAAGCAGTTTCTACACATCTCAAATATTTAAATAAAAGTAAAATTATCACACAATATCTTGAAAGGGAAAGGTATCTGCAGCCTTTTCAGATCCAAATAATAAAGCTGCATATGGTGTCATACAAAGGACCCCAAATCAAAAGGTTAGTTAAAGAGCCATTGAGAGGCGGGAGACAAACTATATGGAGAGTCTTGCTGTTTGCATTATTAGCTGCTTGTGTGCTTGTTCATGGCAGTCATGTTTTCAAGATGCTCTTCAATCTGACAGATAGAAACGTTATTTTAAAAACAAATTTAAAAGGTGGGCATTCGATCCATTTTCACTATGAAGTCTCCCAATTTTTGCCTTCAACCATCCTCTAAAATTGAAATGCTCTCAAAAGCTTCACTAAGAGTTGACATCCTTGTGTGTGACATCTCGTTACACTGGCAGTTTCTTGAACATCCAGCAAGAATAGAAAAGAACTCAGCTTATGTTGACACAAAACAGCCTGATGAATTGTGACACACAAAAACACACATCACCACACACACACACACACACACACACACTGTATTATTTTTCCCTGTGGTGGAATAATTACAATTCTTCTACCTGCACCAGGAATGGAGAATCCTTGGTTCTCTGAAGGCCAGTCCCCATCCAGTTCCCATCATCTTTGACCACTGGCCATGCTGCCTAGGGAAGATTGGGGATATTGTTTAGCATCATCTAGATGGGCCTACAGGTCCCCCATCCCTACAGTAGTCATTTCCATTCTTCACCCAATGATAGGTATATTCCCTGCTTCACTGTCACTAGTGAACCCACCGTGAAAAAATTGTTTTATGCTAAAGGCATCCTTAGCATTCTTTTACTAGAAAATGCAAGTTATAAAAAGGAGCTTGTTTTTCAGACAAGGAAAGAGCACCGAAGAGAACATACCTATGGAGTGCATTACCAAAATACATCCCAGCAGGTATAAACTGAATGGAGAAAATAAAAAAGATCACTTTGTTTGGATCACAGAAGCAAATACGTGCTTTCTATTCAAAGTTCCTGTTTAATGGCTAAAATTTGCCAGTTTTCAAGAATTCCACAGCAGGAAAGTTAGCAAGGAAGGGAGCAAACTAATATATTTCTCCTTAAACAAGAAAACATTAAAATAAAAAGGAGTACTCATTAGCATGACATGGTACAGAGCCAACAATATTCCCATTATTGCTTATTATTACTATTACCAAGACTCTTTTCAAAAATAGATTAGAGGTTTGGCAGCAACTCAGCTGACAAAGGAATTGTGAGAAGCAGAAAACTCCATCATTGCACCCATTATTTGCTTTAAAGGAAAACCAAGCACCTCTAAGTAATCATCAGGCATACTTTATTCATCAGCACTAACTATATATGAAGCATCCAAGTATGAAACCAAGGCATTAATAATGGAAAAAACTAACTCTAAGAGAATGGTTTTAAGTACTTTTTTTTTTACTCAGCCCAAATTTGCCCAAGTCTGCAGCCCAACAAATTCTCAGGATCGTTTTATAAACATTTACCTTTACTGCACACTGTTTATGGTTGTTTGCCCCATCCCTTCCCACTGTAGCCCTCTCAGGAGAGGGTCCTCTAGGTGTTTATTGTGGGCTTTATCCTGCTGCGTGGGTCCTCCCACCACCTCAAGAGGGCTCAGCTTTCACAATGGCAGAAGTGGCTCTTTTCAGGTGCAGCCTATCAGAAGGCAGAAGAGGCACATTTCCCAGATACACTCAGTCGAGGACCAGACCTCCTTGGACAGAGACCTTTTCCATGACACAGGAACATCCTGGATAAAGCCTATTTGCACAGACAACTTTAACCCCTGCTTGGCCTGGTCAGTTAATAGGGCAGTTTACTTTGCTAGTGTTTACTTTGCTAAGGAAGCCTCCTACTTGAAGACCTATGCCAAACGACAAAGTGTTCGGTGTCGAATGGACACTATTGGAGAGGTAGCTCAAAGCTTAGGTGGTGTACCCCCAGATTTTTGAAGAAAACTTCAGTGGTGCATCCCGGGGTATCAGCCAATGTGTAGTTCAGATTCTGCAGTTTGATTGTACCCAAATGGCAGAAAATGCAGAGTGCTCTGTGTCAGAGCTGGAAAACCTCCAAAAAACATTGAATATCACATTTTCTTTAGGAAAACAAAGAGACCAGGGGATTAACCTCATGCTCAGAAAAGGCTGCAAAACAAAGATCATGTATAAATTGTGCCTAAGGAAGGTTCTAAACAGCTGAGGGGTGTAGGTTGGTCCTGCTGCTAGTACCCTTCTGGCTGTTAATAGCCGCAAAACTGACGCAACAACTGCAACAAACGAGGGTTGTTTAAAGATAGGGAATATAGAATGCAAAATGGTTGACAATTCAGACGGCCTGCTCTGGTCCAGTCCTGTACTGACAGTACCTTCTCAGAGGATGATATTGTGATGTTTCCTACATCTCAGCCGTTCAAACAGTGGCTTGAGTGGGTGGCACCAGTCGCAGATAAAGTGCCTTTGCCAGTGCAAGTGGGAGTTGGCCCCCTTCACACCTTTTGGACTTTGGGGTTTTTTTAAAAAAACCAAAAACATTGAATATCACATTTTCTTTAGAAAAACAATGAGACCAGGGGATTAACCTCACGCTCTGTGTCAGAGCCGGCCCACACCTCCTTGCAGGCATGTCTTAATCTTTAAGACCATGGGCCTCCAACCATTTGGGCCATATGACCAAGTAAGGCAACTGTCCAGCTACAGCAGCCCCATTTCCTTTGTAAAAGACAATGAGGAACCCAACAGAGGATGATGTACCAAGGCACTGATTTTTGAAGAAAACTTCAGTGGTGCATCCCAGGATATCAGCCCACGTGTAGTTCAGATTCTGCAGTTTGATTGAACCCAAATGGCAGAAAATGCAGGATGCGCTGTGTCAGAGCTGGAAAATCAAAAATTTTTTTAAAAAAAACTCCAAAAGCATTGAATGCACCCAAATGGCAGAAAATGCAGGGTGCTCTGTGTCAGAGCTGGAAAATCAAGAATTTTTTTTTACAAACCCCAAAAACATTGAATATCACATTTTCTTTAGAAAAACAATGGCCCACTAGTCGTAGATGAGGGAGAGGAATGGGAAACATTCCATGTATTCATCTGTATATGATTTGCATGCTGCAGGGCATCATACAATGTTTCTAAAGAAATAAGGGGGGGAAAGTTTTATTCCATGGTAACATTAGCATTGTAGCTACTGTCCTTAGAGGAGTTGCTGGGACAGTGGAGAAATGATGAAGATGATGAAGACGATGGACTTTTCGGAGCTAGCCGACCTGACCGGAAGAGTCCGCGACCAGAATGAGAAGGAGTATCAGGAGGAATGGAGTGCCTGCCTGTTATCCTGGAATGCGGATTCAGCCGAGAACCTTCGAACTATCCTAAGCCTTCATTTGTTCTCGTTTGTGAGTATGTTTAGCTAGTGATGTTAAACAATGTTTTTATTTTCTTGTTTGAACCCTGTAAGAGATGTGCCAACTTTTAAGTTTGAATAATCTTGTTTTTAAAATAAATTTTGGGGAAAGGATTTTTCCTGTTCTGTCTTTTGTGCCATCTGCTCGGGGAGGCTAAATCTAACGCCTGACCAATTGGTCCGCCTGCCAGACCTGTTGAATTTCTGCCTGTATTTGTGGTAAAGCAATACAGGGCGCGACAGCCCGGTAACGCTGAAGAGATGAAGATGAAGATGAAGACGAAGGGGAAGACGAAAACTCCTGTTTTTCCAGAGTTCCCGACCACGGCTGGCTTCTTGCTTCGGACCCTGCTTTGCCCTTGGTGGCCAGTCTCCAAACCCTCGGCCCAGGACTGGACTCTGACCACGCCTCACGGTAACCTGCCCCCCCCCCCCGGGACCAGCACACACCCAAATGGCAGAAGATGCAGAGTGCTCTGTGTCAGAGCTGGCCTACACCTCCTTGCAGGCATGCTTTAAGAGCATGGGCCTCCAACCATTTGGGCCATATGACCAAGTGAGGCAACTGTCCAACTGCAGCAGCCCCATTTCCTTTGTAAAAGACGATGAGGAACCCAACAGAGGATGACGAACCAAGGCACTCATTTTTGAAGAAAACTTCAGTGGTGCATCCCGGGGTATCAGCCAACGTGTACTTCAGATTCTGCAGTTTGATTGCACCCAAAGGGCTGAAAATGCAGTGTGCTCTGTGTCAGTGCTGGAAAATCAAAAAAATTTTTTTGAAAACCCCCCAAAAACATTGAATATCACATTTTCTTTAGGAAAACAAAGAGACCAGGGGATTAACCTCATGCTCAGAAAAGGCTGCAAAACAAAAATCATGTATAAATTGTGCCTAAGGAAGGTTTTAAACAGCTGAGGGGTGTAGGTTGGTCCTGCTGCTAGTACCCTTCTGGCTGTTAATAGCTGCAAAACTGACGCAACAACCGCAACAAACGAAGGTTGTTTAAAGATAGGGAATATAGAATGCAAAATGGTTGACAATTCAGACTGCCTGCTCTGGTCCAGTCCTGTACTGACAGTACCTTCTCAGAGTATGATACTGTGATGTTTCCTACATTCTTCTTCCATTCCTCCTCACCACTGAATAAAGAGCATGAAATCCACTCTTGACTCTGAATATAATTCAGTTGTTTAAAAGATAGGGAATATAGAATGCAAAATGGTTGACAATTCAGACGGCCTGCTCTGGTCCAGTCCTGTACTGACAGTACCTTCTCAGAGTATGATATTGTGATGTTTCCTACATCTCAGCTAGTGATGTTAAACAATGTTTTTATTTTCTTGTTTGAACCCTGTAAGAGATGTGCCAACTTTTAAGTTTGAATAATCTTGTTTTTAAAATAAATTTTGGGGAAAGGATTTTGGGGAAAGGATTTGGGGGAATGTCTTTTGTGCCTTCTGCTCGGGGAGGCTAAATCTAACGCCTGACCAATTGGTCCGCCTGCCAGACCTGTTGAATTTCTGCCTGTATTTGTGGTAAAGCAATACAGGGCGCGACAGCCCGGTAACGCTGAAGAGATGAAGATGAAGACGAAGGGGAAGACGAAAACTCCTGTTTTTCCAGAGTTCCCGACCACGGCTGGCTTCTTGCTTCGGACCCTGCTTTGCCCTTGGTGGCCAGTCTCCAAACCCTCGGCCCAGGACTGGACTCTGACCACGCCTCACGGTAACCTGCCCCCCCCCCCGGGACCAGCACACACCCAAATGGCAGAAGATGCAGAGTGCTCTGTGTCAGAGCTGGCCTACACCTCCTTGCAGGCATGCTTTAAGAGTATGGGCCTCCAACCATTTGGGCCATATGACCAAGTGAGGCAACTGTCCAACTGCAGCAGCCCCATTTCCTTTGTAAAAGACGATGAGGAACCCAACAGAGGATGACGAACCAAGGCACTGATTTTTGAAGAAAACTTCAGTGGTGCATCCCGGGGTATCAGCCCACGTGTACTTCAGATTCTGCAGTTTGATTGCACCCAAAGGGCTGAAAATGCAGTGTGCTCTGTGTCAGTGCTGGAAAATCAATTTTTTTTTTTTGAAAACCCCCCAAAAACATTGAATATCACATTTTCTTTAGGAAAACAAAGAGACCAGGGGATTAACCTCATGCTCAGAAAAGGCTGCAAAACAAAAATCATGTATAAATTGTGCCTAAGGAAGGTTTTAAACAGCTGAGGGGTGTAGGTTGGTCCTGCTGCTAGTACCCTTCTGGCTGTTAATAGCTGCAAAACTGACGCAACAACCGCAACAAACGAGGGTTGTTTAAAGATAGGGAATATAGAATGCAAAATGGTTGACAATTCAGACTGCCTGCTCTGGTCCAGTCCTGTACTGACAGTACCTTCTCAGAGTATGATACTGTGATGTTTCCTACATTCTTCTTCCATTCCTCCTCACCACTGAATAAAGAGCATGAAATCCACTCTTGACTCTGAATATAATTCAGTTGTTTAAAAGATAGGGAATATAGAATGCAAAATGGTTGACAATTCAGACGGCCTGCTCTGGTCCAGTCCTGTACTGACAGTACCTTCTCAGAGTATGATATTGTGATGTTTCCTACATCTCAGCTAGTGATGTTAAACAATGTTTTTATTTTCTTGTTTGAACCCTGTAAGAGATGTGCCAACTTTTAAGATTGAATAATCTTGTTTTTAAAATAAATTTTGGGGAAAGGATTTTGGGGAAAGGATTTTGGGGAATGTCTTTTGTGCCTTCTGCTCGGGAGGCTAAATCTAACGCCTGACCAATTGGTCCGCCTGCCAGACCTGTTGAATTTCTGCCTGTATTTGTGGTAAAGCAATACAGGGCGCGACAGCCCGGTAACGCTGAAGGGATGAAGATGAAGATGAAGACGAAGGGGAAGACGAAAACTCCTGTTTTTCCAGAGTTCCCGACCACGGCTGGCTTCTTGCTTCGGACCCTGCTTTGCCCTTGGTGGCCAGTCTCCAAACCCTCGGCCCAGGACTGGACTCTGACCACGCCTCGCGGTAACCTGCCCCCCCCCCCCGGGACCAGCACACACCCAAATGGCAGAAGATGCAGAGTGCTCTGTGTCAGAGCTGGCGTAGACCTCCTTGCAGGCATGCTTTAAGAGCATGGGCCTCCAACCATTTGGGCCATATGACCAAGTGAGGCAACTGTCCAACTGCAGCAGCCCCATTTCCTTTGTAAAAGACGATGAGGAACCCAACAGAGGATGACGAACCAAGGCACTGATTTTTGAAGAAAACTTCAGTGGTGCATCCCGGGGTATCAGCCCACGTGTACTTCAGATTCTGCAGTTTGATTGCACCCAAAGGGCTGAAAATGCAGTGTGCTCTGTGTCAGTGCTGGAAAATCAAAAATTTTTTTTTTGAAAACCCCCCAAAAACATTGAATATCACATTTTCTTTAGGAAAACAAAGAGACCAGGGGATTAACCTCATGCTCAGAAAAGGCTGCAAAACAAAAATCATGTATAAATTGTGCCTAAGGAAGGTTTTAAACAGCTGAGGGGTGTAGGTTGGTCCTGCTGCTAGTACCCTTCTGGCTGTTAATAGCTGCAAAACTGACGCAACAACCGCAACAAACGAGGGTTGTTTAAAGATAGGGAATATAGAATGCAAAATGGTTGACAATTCAGACTGCCTGCTCTGGTCCAGTCCTGTACTGACAGTACCTTCTCAGAGTATGATACTGTGATGTTTCCTACATTCTTCTTCCATTCCTCCTCACCACTGAATAAAGAGCATGAAATCCACTCTTGACTCTGAATATAATTCAGTTGTTTAAAAGATAGGGAATATAGAATGCAAAATGGTTGACAATTCAGACGGCCTGCTCTGGTCCAGTCCTGTACTGACAGTACCTTCTCAGAGTATGATATTGTGATGTTTCCTACATCTCAGCTAGTGATGTTAAACAATGTTTTCATTTTCTTGTTTGAACCCTGTAAGAGATGTGCCAACTTTTAAGTTTGAATAATCTTGTTTTTAAAATAAATTTTGGGGAAAGGATTTTGGGGAAAGGATTTGGGGGAATGTCTTTTGTGCCTTCTGCTCGGGGAGGCTAAATCTAACGCCTGACCAATTGGTCCGCCTGCCAGACCTGTTGAATTTCTGCCTGTATTTGTGGTAAAGCAATACAGGGCGCGACAGCCCGGTAACGCTGAAGGGATGAAGATGAAGATGAAGACGAAGGGGAAGACGAAAACTCCTGTTTTTCCAGAGTTCCCGACCACGGCTGGCTTCTTGCTTCGGACCCTGCTTTGCCCTTGGTGGCCAGTCTCCAAACCCTCGGCCCAGGACTGGACTCTGACCACGCCTCACGGTAACCTGCCCCCGGGACCAGCACACACCCAAATGGCAGAAGATGCAGAGTGCTCTGTGTCAGAGCTGGCCTACACCTCCTTGCAGGCATGCTTTAAGAGTATGGGCCTCCAACCATTTGGGCCATATGACCAAGTGAGGCAACTGTCCAACTGCAGCAGCCCCATTTCCTTTGTAAAAGACGATGAGGAACCCAACAGAGGATGACGAACCAAGGCACTGATTTTTGAAGAAAACTTCAGTGGTGCATCCCGGGGTATCAGCCCACGTGTACTTCAGATTCTGCAGTTTGATTGCACCCAAAGGGCTGAAAATGCAGTGTGCTCTGTGTCAGTGCTGGAAAATCAATTTTTTTTTTTTGAAAACCCCCCAAAAACATTGAATATCACATTTTCTTTAGGAAAACAAAGAGACCAGGGGATTAACCTCATGCTCAGAAAAGGCTGCAAAACAAAAATCATGTATAAATTGTGCCTAAGGAAGGTTTTAAACAGCTGAGGGGTGTAGGTTGGTCCT